TTAACTAGTACAAGGTATTCATTTTCAGAAGCTACTTAAGTGTGAGAGATTTACAACACAAGTGTTAAGGGGGTAGAAGTCTGAGTTTCAACCATGTGAAGTCAATTTCAACTCCCTGCGAAGCCCTATAGAATAAAAAGAACGTATTTGTGTCCTCCTGCTCCCCCAATAACAGATACTCAGTGTGTGCATGCACGTATGTATGTGTTTATATTGAAGGTTGATGCTGTCAGTGGTATAAATGTATGGGCTCTTTCACGGCAGTAAAAATCATACTTTTGCTCACTTTACTGTTTCAAACCAGCTGACTCGTTGCAAGATTTATCAACTTTGTTGACCTCTTCCTGGGTGAGTTTGAATGCACAACAAAATAGTGTTGCACCTGAAATATTTCAACATCCACCAATAGAACGTCTCAAACTCTGAAGTGGGTAGCAGATTTACTTGACTAAGTTTTTGGACTAAATGTACTTTTAGGATAGCAGAACATAGAGGAAATGAGATAAAAGTATCCAACATAAGGTGGAGCAATATAATGAAAAACAATCAAACCAAACCTACGTCCAACCAACTGTAAAAGCTCTCGCATGGATACATTTGCCAACTCTTATCCACCTCTCCTTTTACTCCTGCACTGCTAATACTATCTGTCTGCATTAGAAATAAGGTAAAGTGATATAGAAATGAGATCCACGGCTTGTTCGATTAAAAAAAAAAAAATGACATGAAAAATATCAAAAACCAAAAAATGTTTCTTGGTACAGAAAGAAGTTTAAGAGTTTAAAACAGCATAGTCTACACTGCCTGGGAATGACAGGGAGACAAAGTATCAACAATGGGGGAGACATCAGGTCAAAAAGCTTCAAACTCTTTCAAAAACCTTAATGACTTAATGAGACCAGACGGAGAGATGTAATAAAGAACTTACTAAATGCTGAGGAGCTGCTTACCACAACTCCCAAGATTTTAAACACTAACCAGAAGCAAAAGTAAACTCTCCTCCAGTTGACTCACAACTAAATAAACGAACCAAAGAGGATATAAAATTCAGATCTGTGAAGTGAACAAACAATACATTAATGTTTGGTCCTGTTGAACAGTGGTATGTCTGCATAAACCAAAGAAATAAGGTGAACAAAACACCTTCATAGCTGAGAAGTAGCCTAATGTTAATCAGAAATGTAGCCCACCAGGCTGTCGCTCTGCTCCAGCCAATCACCATGCAAGAGCTCCTACAAAAGGCCCAACAACCACGGATCCACCTGCTTCAACCGCGCTTTGACCCACCAAACAGAAGGAGGCATCATTTTGAAGTCTGTGAAAGCAAAAACCACATTGGTGAAATTTAGAATTGTATTTAAAAAAAAAAAAAAACTAATAAAACAAAACACGTTTTCTACTCTTAACAGTGAGTTTAGTCTACTGTAAGTTTCATAAGAATTGTGTGTAGACCACGATAAATATTTATAAATGTGTTTTATGTATCGGTGGTGCTGAGTTAGAACATGAGGCCATAAAACAAAGATAAAAGTGTTGAATTTTAGCTGTGAGCACAAATCAAGTTGAAATGGTAGCTTTGGGGTAAGCTGAGCCACTGGCGCGCCTTGGAATCTCAACTTGCCAAGGATTCAGTTTTAGCACTTTGTTTCCAGTGTTTCCAAGTGCACTAAAAAGCATTCTTTCGTTCTATTTTTTTTTTAACTAAACACCTGCTTAGCAGTAATGTGAAACAACAAAAATGTTAAATACGAGGAATTGTTTACAACAAAAAAAAAAAAATTGACTTGTTTCGGGGATAGGAGGAGGTGAACGAGGGGTGAAGTTGAGTTAGGTGGAGGATGGATTGGGTTTGTTAAGGGAGAAAGAGAGAATTTAGGAATATACCTAAATACATGGAATAAGTTGATACATTAGACAATGTTTGTTTGGACATGCTAAAAACAACCCAATTATGTTTACACTTGTTCTGACTGCACAGCATCCTGAAATAAATGCAGACATGTAAGTTAGTGACCAAGCTAAAGTTGCCTTGATGTAGTGATCTTAAATATGGAAAACGGCTCAACTTTACCCCATCCACCCCACAGTGCATTTGTGTGTGAGGAGTTTAATGCAATTTTAGACGACTTAGCATAGCTCTGAAAATAACTAAACACCGTTTTGGCTGCCAATTCAGTACACTTGGAAGGAATGAATAGACTGCACTGGCAGAAAGCAGAGTGTCAAGGTTTGACTGGAATGCCTTGGGCGTCTAGTGGCTCTCAAGAGATACGGATTCAATCATTACCATCGGTTGCCATCTTTTGAACTCTGAATTAAGAGCTAGATCACATGGCTGGCATGACTCCTGCAACGCACTCACACGCACATGCAAACACACCCGACCAGCCATGACTCACACTCCTTCAAGACAATTAGTGGATGCAGCTTAGCAGGTTTGCTTTCAACCCCGAGCAGACTTCAAATGTTATCCGTGACAGGTCGCATTGTGGCGGAGGACTTTCAAAACATGAGTTGAGGGATGTCAAACATTAGCGATGATCTGATGTTCACCGCCACATTAATCGCATTTCGTATTTACTTTTCGAAAGATAATTACAGGAGAGCTTCTTGTCTAAAGTGTGTGAAGCTTTACTCCAAACAGCACTCCGAAGCAGCTATATAATGCATCAGTGAGGAAGGGTGAAGGTTTGAAAAACAAAACGCACAAAAAGCAATAAATAGAGTTAACCGAGGCAGTAAAAGTAATAAAATCAGTCAAGCTGGAACTGAAAACTAAACAGCTGTGGAATTATGGCATTTCATTTATGTCACTCATTGCCAACCCCATAGCCACTGGTGGAAAAGAGAAAAAAAAAATCCTTCTTGAACAAAAAACTAATGTATATTTATTAAATATGTGCCCATGCTTTCACAGCAAAAATATATGGAGTTAGGACACAAACATATGTGTTTATGTAAGACATCCTTCAAAGTATGTCGATGTGAAAGCTAATTTGGTTTAGAAAATATTCTGCTTGTTTCAGTGAAAAATGTACCAAACCACATTGTACAAATAAGGTTCTACATGTCACTAGTCACATTTCTTATATTTTCTATGTGTGATGTATTTAATGTAAGCTATTTTATTTTACCTTACACAATACCAACTGTGTCTCACAGTTACTTTTGCCACTGAGTCTGTCTCTTTGACTCATAAAATGCATTACAGGACGTATGACGTCTTCCTGCACATTTTAATTAATAGCAGTTAATGGTATCTCTTAAAATCTTATACTCCTAAGCAGCAACTATGAGTGATGTCAATTTATGAAATGCATAAGCATATACAAATGACATGACCAATAATCTGTTTCATTAGCTGATTTGATGAAGTTGTTGTGGGATGTTTAAAACACACATTCCTCAGTGTATCTTGAATACAGTCTCAAATGTGAAGACTTAGATAAATTATACACTTTTGTTATTTAATAAACAAGAAACTAAAAGCATCCCATGATTAGCAGTTTGTAGAACCGTTTTTAGTACCACTAACTCAGAGTCGTATTCTTTATTATTTTTTCAGTCTGACATGCTGCTGTGGTCATGCTGTGTCATGCATTATGGGAGAGGATCTCTACTTTGCGCTTATGCATATAACGTTATACCAGAAGTCTTGTGGTTCTCTGATAGCAGTCGATGCCCGTACCGTTTCCTTCCACTCCAAACTTGTGGAATCATTTTTTTAATTTATTTTTTGACTGTGATTAACAAGATGCCCATGTCCTTTGACTATGAACCCAACACATGCAATATCATCAGCCTTTCAACACCATTCTAGACAGATAGTATGCTGTGTTCAATCTTCAGCAATCCATAATTTACGCATTTTGGTTTCCAATTGTCTGACTTGATGTTAAAGATACTGAGTCAGATCTATAGGTTATGAGCCAGAACTCTTTGTTTGCAATTTTGATGCTTTGCAATGGGTGATTTTATGGTAAATTTGATGGTGTTTTCATTCATAAAAAGATGAAAGCTTCCATTAAATGGCTTCATCTGGTTAACAATCTTCGTCATGGCAGAATGACAAACTCAAAATAGTTTGAAAGCTTTATGCTTTAAAGTCCAGACATTGATGGACCACCATATTCTTTAAAAATGCATACAAATGCATTTTATTCCTTGTGTACTGCGTTAAATCCAAAACTTTTTTCTTCCTAGTCCAGCATTTTGACTTTATAGAGATCCTTAAGGTTGCAAATAATCAATTTATCATCAGAATTTGGTTTAATTCGGAGGACCTGACTGCTATCTACTTTATTAGCAAGTAACAAAAGTGTACTTTGTTTTGGTAAATACAATTTTTCCATTTCTGCCATGATCTATTTAAATAAACACTGACATTTTAGCCTCTCTAATGCAAATCCGTACACTTAAAGTAAGATTTACATAACTTTAGAACATACAGATCACATAATTTATTTTGTGCAATATATACTCATACATCATAGAAACGAAAAAGGATTACCTTTTTTAAATTACAATGACTTTGTGATAAAATCCCTAGGTCTTGCTTCAAAAAAAGGCGAAAAATGCTGCTACACACCAGCTGGGAGAAATTAGATTTATAGAGCTATTACGGAGGCACATGATTTAAGAGATAACTAAATGGAAGTTAATCATTTCTCCTGAATAACTACAGATTAATCTTGATAACGGTCTCACACAGGTAGATCAACAAAACAAAACCACGTTCTAAGCACATTATTGGAAAGTTTTAATGGTTCAGCTGAACAATAAAGAGTTAAAGAGATATTCTTCTTAGGTTTTAAGAAGATTAAATAACTCTAGTTAAAGTTTATTACGCCAAAACTTCCCATCCAGACTTTTTTGATTTGAAAAATATTTTATTTAAATGTGCTAGCTCGCTAAATAAAAGAAAAATGAAAATAAATCAAACCCAAATGCATTCAAATAGGCACAGACATGAAGAGAGACTGAAAAGAAAACACATGATGTTCCCCAATTATAAAATGTGAATGTTTATTAAATGTCGACAAGAACATTAAAACACAGTATCAAGATTCAGCAAAAACAATCTATTTTACGTCACCAAAAAAATAACAGAAAGAGAAAACAGTTAGTTCTGCGCTGGGAATGAAGGAAACGGAGGATGGAGGGAGAGTTGCTGGATAACGGAGGCGGGCACGGCAGAAAAAACACAGCATTAGAGAGGGCGGGAGGAAAAAAACAGAAAATTTAGGAGATGGGGTGGGACGGTGGGGCTGGCAGCAGAGGCTAAGGCAATTAAGTAGAAACACACTAAGAAATATGGAAGGTTTGGGCACCAGGGGGAGGGCATTGATGCTCTGTAGTGAGCAGGATAACGTGGATTGATTGGAGCTTCTGATTTCACTCTTTCATCTCCTCTTCCATTGGAGACTTAGCAAGCTGCAGCAGCAGCTCGCGGAGAGGGAAAGTGACTATAAAGGCATTCGCACAACAAAAACAGATCAGGGTGTGGCAAATAATAGCTGTCTGCACATGTAAATAACAAGGGGGAACATAGCAGTAACATATTCAGTGTGCACAACAAGTCGGGGAGCGGGTTCACAGGGGAGTTGGGTGTGGGTTCAAAGGTACAGGCGCAGTTCAGCACGGCAACCAGTAGGTGGTGTTCACAATCACAATAACTAATAGGTCAATATAATCATGTAAATCTCTCTGTTATCAACACAAACAGCAGAGGGAGGCTAGTCAGACAGAAGCGTCACATTACTCCACGCTGGGACATCCTCCACCTCCCGCTCCCGTCTCTGGTCGGGCTCATGCACGTCGTCATGTGTAAACCAAAGCATGTGCCTACAGGTGCAACGTGGTGAATCAGAATAATAATTGAAAAGTTGATTTGTTTCAGCGAATCAATTTGAAAAGCAAAACTCTCATAGATTCATTACACAGAGGGATACATTTCAATGATTCAATGAAATGTCAGACATTTCTGCTAATTTTGGTAAATTGAAATGGAATATTACATAGGACTAATAATCTTTTTTTTTTTAAATTATGTATAATGTCATCGCCTACTCAATAATGTTAAAGACTGCTGAATTTATAGTTGCTGAGCAGACAGTAAAGTCATCCTCCACAAGGAGCACAAAATATAAATGGTGATTTTCATTTTTATTTTTTTAAACAGTCTGTTCATATAGTTGTATTCAGTCAGATTAAGAGAAAGTTGTGAGAAAGGAAAAAGTGCACCAATTTGCTCTGAGCACACCACCAATAATCTTTAAATACAGAAGAAGGAAGTAAACAAACCCTCTCCTTTCTTTAAATTGGCTGTTGGCCTTTGGTTGGTAATAATTTCATGTAATAATTTTCTAATCCTTTTCACGTTCAATTACCTATACCTGCTTAACGCACCTGCTAATGCCATCAGAAGGACCGACAGCTCCTTTAATTACAATGGCGTCACTGTGCACACTCATCTGGATTCATGGAGTGTCGCCAAGAAGAAGATAAGACACAATAAGCTGACAATGCAGACATGTTAAAGGCTGAGATTAAAGGAACCTTGGCTTGTTTAAAACCCCAACAGAACCACAGAATGCTCAATTGCATGACACGCTGCATTGACGCAGTAATTCATGCAAAAGGACCATGTATTAACTGCACATACAATTATAATAATATGCATGTCAATAATATTTGTCGAATTAAAAGTAAAAGTCACTTTAAGTGTAATTATGTAATAATGTGTTCAAATCACTGGATCGAGTTACAGAAATATACTTTTTAATCATATTTTAACTTTTTGAATATGACTGTACAATATGGACATACTTTTAATTGACTTAAAAGTATGGGCATATTCTTATTAGTCTTATGTAAAATTGTAGTTTAATGATAAATTGAATTGTGGGTGTTCATTAGCCATCAGCCATTTTTGTCAAAATTTACACAAACACCATTATATCACTCTGTGGTAATCAAATCTATAAAAGTTTTTTTTTTCTGTCAAAATTGTACAACTGAAAGAAAATCTACTTTCCAAGGATATTCAAATTCATTTAGACGCTCTTGTTCATGTGTACGCACAGACACACAACAGATGCACGCAAACGCACATGCTCTGTCAAGAAGAGAAACAAACATTCACACACACACGCGCGCAAATATTTGTGTACATTCACACTCGCAGTCCAGTTCCCTCTCTTTATACGTCTTATTTTACAAACTTAAAATCAGTCCTCAAACTCTGTGCCATAGTAACATCTGTTTTTTTTTTTTTTTTTTTTCTCCAGTATTTATTTCTTTTTTTCATAACATCAGTGTCTGTACTTTTGATGAAGAAGAAAGGGGCCGGCTGTCCACCGAGTCGTGACTGGGCAGCTTTTTGCGTGCCGCGCGCAGCCGAGGTTGCCGCAGAAAGCACGGGGGGTCCGGAGACACTCACAGCTGGTCCAGCGTCAGAGGTATTCAGCGCAACATTGCTTGGTGCTACACATGAAACTCAGCGCACATTCAAAGACTTTTGCAATCCAGTCTTGCTGTCCAAAAGAAGACAATCCAGAAAACGTAGAAGGTCGCACATGTCCCGCGAGGCCGCTAATGTCCCCAAATATCAAAACGTGCCTTGCATTGTTCTTTCATAAAAGAAGAAGAAGAAGAAACAAAAAAAGCATGTGCTTGAGGGATAATCACAATCCTCATCTTTCCTTGTGCTCAGATCAGTAGTCCCCAACGCCAACCATGGGGAGAAGGAGGAAAAGTTCTTTCTTTGTCACAGGTAGGTTTTCTAAAGTCCATGTGCTCTCTCGTGTTTTCGCATAGTAAGAAATGTTTCACATGCTCTGAAAGTCATACACGCTGTACAGTAGAATCTACAGATATCTTAAAGCTTTCTCCAAAAAAAAAAAAAAAAAGCTTCAACAGGATTGACAGTGCTTAAAGGAAAATAAAAATAATGGGGCAACGATTGCACAATTTTTCACCAATATGATGGCTTTGTATTTCTTTCCCCCATCTATGGTTTTCCATTCTAGCTTGAGGCAATTTTGATTTTTTCCATGAGAAACTGCAGAACTTGAACACCAAAAAAAAAAGCCAATTAGAAAAGATTTTTCTTCCCCCTGATAATCATTTTTTTTCTACGTTTGCATGACAGCAGAAAACGAGCTACACGCTAAAAACAAATTTGGAAAGAAATCTCATATTGAACACCTGGAAAAGAGAGGACAGTCTGATGAGTTGGGAATGTGGAATCGCTCCATTTCTTTAGAAACCCGATCTGACGCGACCTTTCTTCTCTTAATTCTGACACGTATGTGGACGGAGCGAAGGTGTGCCAGCCATGCATGTGCTTCACAATGTGCTCAGTCAAGTCACTCCTCTGACTTCCTGACAGGAAACTGAGTCTTAGAGAGAGCTTTGTCTGTTTGTCTTTCAGCCAGAGTCGTGCAAACACGCGTACACGCACGCACACAAAAAGTGCTGTGTTTCCATCTGCGATGTTGCATCGGTTGGCCGGTACTCAGCTGGCAGGCAGATCAGACAAAGTGCCCAATATGCTCCCTAATGGCCCACGTCAGACGAACGAGATCCTCCGTTGTCTCTTTTCTTTGTCTCCTCATTTTTTATTCTTTTTGCGCCTTCTTGTGCTTTTCTCGCTTGCCTTTCGTCCCCTTTGATGCACTCTGTCCCCCTTTTTCCTTCAGCCAATTTAACTCCTGTGAGCTCGTTTCCTCCTCTTCTCTGTCTTTTTTTTTTCTCCCTCATTATTTGAGGAAGCGCCGCTCATTGCCACGACCCTGCTGGGTCTCATTCACACAGATAAGGGATGTAAATGTATCAAAGTGCACCGGTGAGCTTTCCCTTCAAGCAGATGAAACCCAAGAATTTGCATCTTCTGCCTGCATTTTGGGAAGGGGCTGGTTTTGTTCCCTTATATGCGATAGAACGCTCTCCAACGATAGCTCCGAAAGTTTTGGGCTGAGGATGGGGAGTCAGAGTCAAGAGAATATGATGATACTGCAGAGGGGTTTGAACTGAGGAAAGACAGCAAAGTAGATTGTGGGCTCAAGGCTCGACTTTGCTGTTTTATAAGGTAAAATATCAAAATTGCGGGGATCGTGGTTAGAATCTTCCATAAAGAAAGCATCATGGCAGTAACAGAGATGAGGGGGGGAAAGGAGGAAGCTATGGCGCCAACTGCAGTCAACTAAACTTAAATAATAAACAATGTGAAGACACATAATTCAATCTGTCAAAAACCATGTTTTTTTTTTTATATATATATTTATATATTTCTTCTGAATGATCCAAAAACATCTCGTCTTCTCCTCTCCCTCCTTTTTATGAGTTTTATTTATTATCGGGGTCACGGGTGGGACGGATCTTCATCTCAGAGAACTTGAGGGAATACTGCCAGCCGGTCCAGGAGGACCACTCGATGCCGTCTGCGTAGGAGGTGTGCTGGCCGCGGAGGTACTGGCCGTTGAGGTTGGAGGTGTGGCAGTTCCGGTACCACCAGGCGCCATGGTAGAACGAGGCACAGTTGTTCTCAGAGTGGTCGTTGTCCCTGTCTTTGGTGGTGAACTTCATGCCATTGTGCTTCAGAAGAGAGTCACCTTAAAAACAAGCAGAAGGTTTTGATTGTTGACATTTTGTAACGTTAGTATCACAAACGTCAATCTATTCAGATGTTGTTTGGTACGCAAATGCAAAGTAGCCTTAATGGGGAAAGTGGAAGGATGGATATGTCTATCAGCTTTGCACATTCCAACATCTTAAGAAAAGTAGCTTGGTCAAACTATAAAAAGCAATTTGTAAGTGTTTCCAGAGATTGCTGTTAAAAATTCAAGTCTGTGCTTTGACTAGGCCATTTCAAACTCGTCTAAGCTCTTCCATTTTTCAAGTAGCTGTATGTTGTGTTGGAGGAGTGACCTCCATCCCAGTTTCAAATCCGTTGGATCCTTCAACACTCATTTTTATTTGCATCATCCTGTATTTAACAATCGTCCATTTCCTTTCACCTCTGCCTAGCTTTCTAAAGCAAAGAAGCATAATGCATGTGTGCTAAAATGTTACATTTTGGTCTCAGTGAGTAATGTACTTTTGCCAGTTTGAATAATAAAAGGTATTGTCACACTTGGTTCCAATTCTTGGGCAATTCTGGGTTTTGTTTTTCCTCAACATTTTGATGTTGAGGCTTTTTCACAAAAAGCTGCAAAGTTGATGCAGCAGATAAGGCAGTGAGCTTCTTCTTTGCCGTCTCATTTACAAGCGGAAATAAGAGGACAGTTTCCTTTCTTTGGCTCGCTAAATAATCCATTTGAATTGAAGTGCACAGCGATTTAACAAAACCCCAACCTAACCCCAACCTTAACCCTTTTTCACTTTACAATCTTTGAGTTGGTGCATCACATAAAAGCCCAGTAAGTCTAGAGTTGTGATGTGACTAATTGTGGGAAAGTTAGCACAATGCCTATATAGAAAACAAGTTATGTGTAAAAAACTATTTTTGTTTGATCTCATTCTGATTGCATATATTCACAGTTATTTTAAACAGGAAAAATAATAAATTGCCCTTTAGGTTAAGCAGAATAACAGAAATAAAAATAGAGCTCCAGTGTTCTGAAGAATATTTTCTTCTCATTATCTGAAGCGGGAGGTCAGGCCACTTGGCAGCCAATTCATCAAACTTTCTTTTGTGACCTTTATGGCTTTTAATAACACACGCTTTCTTGATGGTTTCATCTGGATATGTGGCACTCGGAGAGGCTTTAATGTTTATTTTTCGATGTAAATGTTTTAACAGAGGCATAATGTCATATCTTGATTTCATTCTGCTGGGCATCTTTCATTCCCCCCCTCCTTCTGTTGGTACAAAAAGCTTTAAAAGCATAATCAATGAGAGGGTCCGCTTTTCTCCAGCCCACGATTGTGAATATGACAGTGATGTAAGACCACTGCAGGGATGCGGCACAGCCAAGTGCCCTTAATCATGGTCTGGATGCTAAGTCTGATCCCCACAATCAAATTGCTGAGCTGGAAACATTGTCCCACCACGTAAAGATTTCTCTCTGGCAATTTCTCAACGATGATAACCGCTCTGAAAAGCCCCTGCTTTTAAAGACTTACAAGTAAAATGAGAGAAACGTCCTCAGAGATGCAGCAGTAACTCCGAATTTTCTTGATTTCTTTTTGCAAATGGATGTTCAAAGAGCTCTTAATGTGCAATGAACTCCCCCCATGCTGCTCCGTTCATCTCTTTTCTCCCCTTTATTTTCAAAGCTGATTTCACATCGGGGGCCAGAAAGTGAAAAGAAGGACAAAGCTGCGAGCCGAATGAAAGGCTGTTTACCAGCCATCGGGTGATCACTAACAGCCAGAGAGGGCATCAAACAGCGCTTAATTGTGAAACTCCTCCACCGTCTCTCTTGTTCCGCCCCGCTCACCCTCCCCAATTGGCATTACTATGGTAACCCTCTAAGATGGAAAAAATAACCTGACGACACGCCTCATATTCATGTTTTCCATCCGTTTTGGTGTTAGCAGGAAAATAGTTGGTGAACAAAGGAGCAAAGGGGAGATGGGAGAGCCCCCCATGGTGTCAACAACAGGTTGATGTCCAGAGGGCGCAGAGAGAGGAGGAAAAACAACAGAGGCACATAAAGGCTCATTTACAAGGCACCGGGTGTCACCTTGGTGGTTTGAGGGGGCCGGCAGCCTCCTCTGATGCCCATTACGATCCAGCTGCTCACGGTGCAAATGAGCACCTGTTGGCTGATCGGGGAGAAGGCAGAGAAGGACAACAGCAGCAAATGGTCCTAATAAGAATAGCAACAAAACCTGGAGGGAAGCTAACGTGGTCTCTGGGGAGCATGGATTCGCTTAAATGGACTGCATTCAAACACGACTTTTGAGAATACTGAAGCAAATAGGCAAAAGTTTATTCTTTACAGACAGTGGTCACAAATTAAAAGAAGGGTAAATCAAACAAATGTGAAACACACAAAAAAAAAAAAAAAAAAAAAAAAAAGAATGCATGTCGTAACAGCTCAGGTTTAACAAAAAGTCATTGTAGAAGTAAGAATGTCTTTAGTTGCTTTGTGAAAGTCCAAACTCTGTAGGAAGGACTGGGCATTACTTTCCACAATCAAAATTTTTTTTATTTACTGATCTCAGATGGAGAGGTATATTTGAATCAAAGCCAAAACATTAGGTGAGTTATACAGGTAATCAGTAAAGTTTATGGATGTTATGCTAGGTTCAGCATGAAGTTGGACGGAACAAAAATGCTCATAGGTTTATTTGGAAATAATTTTTAAAAACAAGGTATAAATTTCTTCAACTTCACAGCTATCCATTAGATAAAATCCCAATAAAATGTGTTTCATTTTATTGGGGTTTTATTTTATTGGGAGTGCCGGTTTTGCAAGACACTGTAGGCAGAACTATCCGGGTTTTTATTTAGCCCAGCTCATCTTCTGGTACACCTGCTTCCTCTGGCTTTTCCTTCCAACACAACTCCTCCCTTCTGCATCTCTCATATTTGTCCCTGTTCTCTCAGTGTTCTCGAAGCGGTGCTCCCCACAGGTCCCTTAAATTGCTTCTTCATTTCAGTGGCAGGTTTTTGTTTACGCTGCAGGTCAAGCTGTGCAATTAATTGCCAGTAATTTAATCAAGGTGACAGGTAGCTGGCTTGGATCTGATGGTTAGGGAGCGGAGACAACACCACTTTCTGTGCCTCTCCCTCTCTCTAGTTCTCTGTGTTGGTGTGTGTGTGTGTGCGTGTGTGTGTGTAAGAAACTGCACTCCTTAAGCGGTGGACCCGCCTCCTGCGCTGTAAAAATACTGCACTGCTATAACAGCTGAAGGTAGAAAGGAGGAGGAGCCGGTTGTAGGTGTCGCCTGCTTCTGGTTTTAGCAACAATGCTTGAGTTTGAAGAGTCTAGTCATGGCAAAAGCACAGCACATCTCACAAGAAGATGAGAACCTATGTGCGGTACATACCTGCGTTGCCAGAATAGTCTCCAACCGTCAAAGGGTATCCATCATCATCAGGGTCCACCGAGAAGAGACCCACGCCGAAGGTGCCGTAATGGGCGTACGCTGTGCTATTTTCAAAGTCCTCTAAGTCGATGCGCAGCTCATAGTTCCCCTGGATGGACAGAGCATGAATCTGCTTCAATCCTGCAGGGGAGAAAAGAAAAAAAAAAATAGAATGACACCCAGACAAAAACAATCCATTACAAAGTATCCTGCTTGTTCTCAACAGACAATCTGAAGCTATTTCAGTCCTCTGCCTCACCGCCGTATATTTTCTGGAAATAAGATATATATTTTTGCCCATTTAGAGCCTTCCTCTGTATGTGTTGGGTTTCTTTCGGAAACAAGATTAGAGAGTCCTTTTAAAAGTGATGCACTCACACGGCTGCTTGGAAAGAAGCTGGAGATTTTTTTTTTAAACAAAATTCATCATTCAGTGGGATGCATGGGTTCTGAGTTTAAGGTTTAACTCCTTCAGCGCATGTTCTGTCAGACGAATCTATGGTTTATATACGAATGCCTTCAAGATTCAACCATTTCAGTAGTAAGTTTAACCCGTTTTGGTGTTTGCTTGTTTTAATATGTGCAGCCAATAATAATAAAAAATCTGCCCATTTTACTCCAATACTAATTTCAATATACTTAAAAAAAATAATAATTCCAACATAAGCACTGAACCCACCTCACAGACTTAAAATCAATATTCTATCTTGGTCAAAGCAATTTTCAAACCTTTGACGTCAAATTTTGTCGACAAGGAAATGTTTTAAAAATTGCCGGTGTGTTTACAGTCCTGTGATTTTGCGATCCAACACAATGCAGCAAGATGACTGATCTTCCTCACTTCAGTGTTTTATTAGGCCATGTATCTTCAGCAGTGATGCTCCCAATGTGAAAATAAAATTATTTCAACTGAAATGTTCATCCATTCGTCTGCGCAGTTTCAGAAGGGAAGCTGGTGGCTGTCTCCAGAGGACACTTGGTGAGAGGCAGGTCACACAGGTAAAAGGGAAAGGTAATTTTATTAATATAGCACAGTTTCATCAAGAAGGCAATACAAAGTGCACTTTGTATTCCTTATTGCACACATACCAAAGGGTATTTTTCTTTCCAACATTTTTGGGATCAAAATGTTCAGAAGTATTTATTGTTAATTTGTTACTGGCAAATATCATTTCTCAGCACCGAACATTGATATTTTACACAGGGTAAAATAGTTGTTTATACCCATCACTTTCATGTGAATTATTTTGAGTCCCAAATTACTCTTTCAATTACTGCTGAACCTTTCAGAGGACGTGTGCTGGCAAGACAGACTGTGCCAGAGGGGAAGAAAAGAGGAATTTCCATCCCTTCCATCCTGCGCTCCCTCCTGCTCAAGGTGGCCCCCTGCTGTGCTGGAGTGATGGTTCTTCTCAAGGAAGCTTTTCCCCTCCTGGGTTGATCAAAGGTATCAAAGAGGAATAACGTGTCAAGCAGAGAGAGGCAGGAAGAACTCTACCTGGGTGTCTTGAAGACAAAAATTCAAAGCAGGAAGACTAACAATGAATCAGGTTTCCAGGATGTGCTAAAGAGACTGGCTGTAATGTACTTTTGCAGATACTCAATATAAGCGTTTGATCAGGAGAAAATTACTTGACAGTAATCTTGGAAAGCTTCAACTTTAGTTATAGATGGCTGTAAGAGCAGCTGCTACGCGGGACGGAAAGCGCTGCAATGAACTCGAATGCTGTGATTTTGTTTTATTTTTTTTTACCTCTTACAGTGTGCCTCACCTCTGCAAATTAAACTCATTCTCTCTCTCTCTCTCTCTCTCTCTCTCTCTCTCTCTCTCTTTCTCTCTCTCTCTCTTTTTTTGAAGCTTACAAAGCTCAAACGGTCTCGGTCTAATTTGAATTCCATCACTGTCGAGAACTGCTCTCTGAGAGCACCTTGTCTGAAGTGGAGGGCTAATTTGATGACAAACACATCTGAAAGAGCCCATTATTATTCCGAGGCAGAAGCCTGCAGTCTGGGCCGAGGCACTTAGTTTGGATTTTATCCAGCCCAATGGGAGGCGAATCTCATGCTCTTGGTTTTCAAAGCAAATCAGACAATCATAGGAGGAGGATCAGGCGTTAAACACATCCACGGTGAGTTTATGCGTGACGCTTCCAAGTTCCTTTCTTTGTAAAAGTATATCAACGCACGGAAAAGAAGAGACGCAGGAGTGCAAACAAAATTTTACACATTTTCACACAGCTTCAGAGAAACAAAAACAAAACAAAAAAAAAAACAAAACAAAACAAAACAAACAAAAAAAGTGCCATTTACAGAAATAGTTTTGGTGTCGCAGACGACGTTGGAGAGAAAAATAACGGTATCAATCTGCGGGATCACCTCGGGGAAAGGAAGCCCGCAGCGATTTGACAAACTTCAAAAGACTTTGAATGTTTTCTCTTCCAGAAAAAAGGGAAGCTGAAATTGCAGATGCAACACGGCTCTATTTAAAGACTCTCCAGCGTTCCAACTGTATTTACACAACTTTAATTCAGTTCCTAATTAAAGCCCCAGAGAATCTCAGCGAGACGCCAATTCAGAATAATTAAAAAGGAAGACAAGAGAAATAACAACAGAGACTTTGCTGCTAAAAGTCTTAATGCTCAGGTGTAAGTGTGCGCTAATTAAATGCTATTGTTAGCATATTTGAAATTAGCTCTAATGCAAGTGAGGATTTTAAGGTGTTTTGCTGCAGTATTAACATGCTGATTGCTCCATAGGGGACTCCCTGTTGCTCTCTTTCTGCACTGATTTAATATTACTTAAAAGCTCAGTAAAATTAATATACATTTTTTAGCTGAGTAATCATGTTTCACCTATACATATATATATTTTCCTGACAAGTTTCATGTTGTTGTTTATGTTGATTTATTGTTTGCAGCCCACAGCGCATTATTAATGGTAAACAAAAATCTGACAGCAATAATTAATTTTCAGAAACTTGATTCTAATTTAAATTATATATAGCAATGATTCCTGCAGTTTGGAAATAAACAACCCAAAGAGGTAAATAATTGCACACTGTCTTCCCGAAGGAGGAAGAAACTGTTTAAAATGTTTATTTTTACTTTAATGACTCTTATTTATACTTGGAAGAAATAAAACAGGGACTTGATGATAATAAAAAAAAAGATTTTCAGCCACTTCTATGAATTATATCACATTTGGGAGGACAGCATTGTACAGTAAACAGAAACAAAATTATGCAGGCAATTTCAGTTTTTATTGTTATTTTATCTTTATAATTCATCAACGTGCTGAAGCACCAAGTGAAAAATGTTTATCCAAAATCTTTTATTCATGAGAATATGAAAGCTTGTGAATGTAGTTTGGTTGGGATAACATAAAAATAAACATTTGTCAGTCGTAAAATGTGGGTATAAATTGACAAAGATCCAAATTGACCCAGCCAAAAGTTAAATACTGGAAACAATGTGTTGTTTCAAATACTGAAATGAAAACATCTCATGAGATATAAAGCATTTCTGGGTGATTAAATATTTGAATGAATGAATAAATAAATAAATAAATAAATAAATAAATAAATAAATAAATAAATAAATAAATAAATAAATAAATAAAGCAGGGACAATTACTTTGGCACAACTTTGCAAATGTATTGAGTCATTCTTATTTTGGACTTTAAGTCAGGCTTATTTAATCAGTTTGACTCAGTTTTTCAATTGTCACTAAAGTTGAGACTTTCAACACATCTGAGGTCACAAATCAACACCTATGTGATCTTGAAGACCATTTTGAAACAGATCTGTTATCTAGTGCGCTCCTTTTGTTATTTTATATTTTATTAAAGATCAAACCAATGCATAAAACAAATAGCAAACATTAAAACAGAATGTAATGAATTAATTTGGTGTTTAAGTGTATTTATGTTAGCTAGCAAACAACAAATACTTCACTGCTTTTAAATTATGATAAGACAGAAGTTTGAACAAGAGTCTTTGAAAAAATAAACAGCTTTGTCAATCACTTGACCTGGACGGTATTAAACTGGCCACCGGTAATGAAGAACTGCCGTTATTTTTGACTTTTCATGGTGGCTGTGTCTGTACAGAAAAAAAGACAAACAAAAGCCATTACCCTAACAAAACAAATAAACAAAAAAGCTTTCAGAAAGTAAGAAAAAATGTTGATCACCATCATCTTTTGAGAAATATGAAGAAGTTGTTAATGTGTGGATGCATAGTTTAGTACTGCACATTATTCTTTGTTACCTTGATGTGCACCGAAATAGTAATCGAGCACCGTCTACATGTTTCAGCTTTTCTGAATGCTTGGCATCATAATGGGTTTAACTATGTACATCATTAAGGTCCCAACCTTAGTGTTGTAAAGATGAACGTCTGCCTTTTGCCAACACACAAAGGAGGCATAATTAACGTCTTCTGAAAGGAAGATAAACAACACAACCAGTCGTCATTTTAAAGAATCAATGCATTTGCAGATAAGGAATCTCATTAGCCTGGTTGCAATGTGATGAGCAAAAAATTTTGCTTTTTTCCGTCTTATGCAGTATCTACCTTATGAGTTTCATTAGCCTTTTTTTTTTTTTTTAGATCTAACGGACAAAGGTAAAATCAGTAAATACAAAATAAATTTGTCACAGAAATGTAAATTTTAGTTATTGAGAGAAAAGCTTCTCCAAATAAACCTGGGCCAATGAGTAAAAATAGAATCCTAACGGGTTTCGTCACCTTGGTGGGGATGGTGGCTATATTCCTATGGAAGTATGTCTGCTCACTCCTCTTTTAAATTTGGCCGCTCTGTGTACTTTTCAGGATTAAACGGATCGAAGGTTCAAGTCTGCACTTTAAAAAGTTTACCCCCAGAGGTATGGCTTGGATAATCGTCCAGCTGTGTTTTTGAACAATGCATCAAATCTTGAGGATTTCCTGGTAAATAGCATAATTTGTGATTTCAACTGTTCAATGGGTCCTGAAGAAACAATGCAGCCCACCCCATCACACTGCCACCGTCATGTCTGGCTGCTAACACGTTCCTGGATTCGGTTGGTTATGACAGATGTAAATAGAAAGCACGCCATTAAAAAAGCTCAGCTTTTGCCTCGTCAAACCACAGAATTGTTT